TCGCGCACGTAGCTTTCGTCACACCAGCGACAATCTCTCTCAAGAGGAACGTCAGCTATCTGACATTTCCACGTTGCCCTTTTTATAGTCGCGGAAAATTCTTCGCCGATCACGCACACCATTCTCTCAGTTTTGCGGAAAACAGGAATTTCCACGATACACACATCGATTCTCTTGTGACGATGGAAAATAAACGGCGACGCGGATCACGGTGTTTTAATGTCAAATTCATCTTAACAGGCATCCGCGAGAATATCGTGTTTTATCCAATGTGAGGTAGAATTCAAGCTACGCCGTTATTTCATTCCACGGAAAAATTACACGAGACTCTGTATGTGTGTATGTGTATGTGTGTGTGTGTACACGCACAGAGTTAATCGCGGCTCGCGTTCCGCCTGAATTCTTTGTTTCGCGCTCGGGAAGTCGCAACGTGCTTTCAGTGTATCCTCGGACTGTTAAGAAAATGATGGCTCGCTGTGTGCCAGCCGGACTCGCGTGGCTTAATTGTTCTTCGTATTAAATTTAAGAGTAGCATCATCATATACGACGGTCAAACACGAGTGGCCGCCTTCATTACCCGCAGCCGCGGGACGAATGAGTCGCAAAAAATATCGCGCACGTTGCGCGGAAGAATGCACGTTACCTGAAACGCCGGCGGCATATAGAAAACAAAAAAAGGTACACGTTGCTCTTAATTGCTGTCCCTTCAGTTTAATTAATACGCCGCGATAATACGCAAGGTTTATTTCCAAATTTCCTCCTCCCCGCAGCGCACGTTTCTCTCCTCTTGTTGTATTTGTCTTTTTCGACGATATTAACCGCGCGTCGTCCGGTTTAGGACTCGCTACTTATTCACCTTCCCGATTTACCCTTCCCACCGTATTATAAATGTATGACAAAAGTTAACGGCAAAAGAGAGAAGAGGGAGAGTGAAGAATGCACGGCGCGTGCGCCACGCGGCAGTGCGTAAACTCCGGAGTGCAGAGATTTATTTTCCGATGCCCGTAAAAATGCAAAGTGCACGTACAACGCGGACGCAGCGCGCTCTTGATGGCGATGAATCTCACCTAGCGATAACTTTTCGCAGTAAAGAGTTAAGTTGCGTGCGAAATATTTACCTTCGCTGGAGAAGGAAGGAAAATGGAACGGGACGTAGGAAAGAGAGAGAGAGAGAGAGGAAGGGGAACGAATCGCGTAAAAAGGAAATATCGCCGAGTGTGGAAATCCATGTGTGGTAATTGTGAGTTATCACCACCACCGACAATAACCGCTATATTCACTGCATCATCGCCGCCGTGCGCGGACAAGAGCTTACGCGAAATGCCGTTTTGCAATGTTGAATTTACGATCGATGCCGCTCCGCAAAACATTCCCACGTTTTATCCGCGTCTATTTCTGCTCTCTCTCTCTCTCTCTCTCTCTCTCTCTCTTGCAACTATTAATAAAGCACGTGTCCTCTATTTGCGATTTTTGCAGGCACGAGTGTAAAATGCGCGTTAATTAGCGGATATTCGTACTGCATGGCATAATTAAGAGCAGTGTATCGAATTCTGTTCCTTTGTATATGCGATACCTTCAATCCCGCGGGACTCTCTCCTGCGTGCGACTTCACGAAGTGTTATTTCGCGAATACGCTTCCGGGTAAGATCCTTAGCCGTTTGATTCCACGAGTGACTGCCACGGCAAATTCGTATGAGTATACCGGATAAATAATTCAAAGTCAAACAGCGGGAGTTTCTCGTATCGTGCACGAGAAGCACTGACAGAAATTCATATGAGGAGTTTGCAAGAGTGCTCGTCGGATATTGAATGATTATACTGAGCTAAAAATGAGTTATCTTTACAAAAGCGAAATCAGACAATTACCTGAAGAGTAACAGAAAATTATAGTTAACAACGATAGATACTTCGATTTGCAACAAAGAGATGTTGTATATAATAACATCGAGAAATAATATATACAATCTGTATATACTGCTTCGTTATTATTGAGAAAAAGAAATATACTGGATGAAAACCCAACACAAAATTTTGTCCTAACAATAAAAAGTGTTCGATAAAAGAGCGCAAGAGTTGCGACGCGAGGATAAGAGAACGGTATTATTACGAAGACAAAATTTACTTCGGCCGATTTAACTCGGCGACACGGTGATTTTATTCTCGTGTTTACAATTCCCCTCGGCACGCGTCGGTGAGAACCAACCTCGCGGCTGCGTAATTCAACGGCCTCTCGACTTTTTCTATTCTCTTTCTCTCTTTTTCGTCGTAGACACTTTCCCACATAATTCCCGCCAATTCCTTTCGTTCCCGGAGGATAGACCCGCCGCGGGACTTCGCACTTCGCCGGAAGATTCTCCTCCATTATAATGAAATCTCGTCGTTTTCCCGGCAGTCGCGTACAACACACCTCCTCGACGTCCTCTGTGAGCAAACAGCCCCCGCGGCTCGACGTCGCGCACCCCCCGGAATTTTTCGATTTTCCACGGCGTACAGAGGACGGCGGCGCCAGCGGGGAGGCCGTCGAGTAAATTGAAGCGATCCATTATACCGCCGGAAGAGGGGAAGGAGGATCGCCCGGTACAGGTTCGGCGATGTCGACAGTGAAGCCAGGTGCCGTAAAAAAGTCGCACGTAATTATCGGATCTGTAAAACGACCTCATTACTCGACTTGCCGATGATTACCTGTCGATTAGAATGTCCGAATTATTCTCCATCCCTCCTTTCTTTCTTCTCGCGAAATTTCAATGTCGTTCTCATGTCTAATTTCACACGCTCTTTGTGCCGATGTCATGTGATGTGACTAAAAGTCAGAAAAATTCTTCATGTCCCTCTCTCGCGATGTTTCGAAATGCATGTTTGAAGAAAGCAAACGTGTTTCGAGAATTTCGCGGGAACGATCCCTTCGATTACCCCGGTGAAACTTCATCGCGCCAATTATTATTATATGTGCGCGCATTAGGTTATTATAATTATGCTAATTGACTCACAACGGGAGGCAAAACGCATTTCGTTCCATAATGCGACTTTGTCTATAATGCAACTTCCACGTCAGACGGTATACTCCTTACCATCTCGCAAATTGTCGTAAGTGCCGGCTTCGCTTCCGCAGAAACGCGCACTTCGGATCGATGACTCGCTCGCGTGAATTATTAACCGTAGCGCTCGGCGACACACCGGGATATCTTGTGCATCAGCGTTGGTAATCCAGCATTAAAATTGCAGAGAGTCATAAGACACGCGCGAAAGAGTGCCATTAAACTTGCAGGGAATTTCGTGCCGAACTAATTATCCCAATTCGTACGACCTCCCATTGAGCTCTCGTCGCGACGCCAAAATCGCATTAAAGATCCCACGACGTGACGCGCGCGTGTGTCGTTGGATCTGATTAAATCCTCGGTGAGACGGGATTCAACCTTGCCGTCTCGAAAAGATTTTAGACGTCTGCATCTGGCGAATGCAACACCTCGCGCGGAGAGAATTTCGATAGAAATGTGAAATATTAATAAAATAACAGAAACAAACCATAAGCGAGATTGACGTCGCGCGAGTCATCCGAGACGCGATTTTGATTCTACAGTAATTTTCTAGATATTTTCGAACTTGATGGATCTATAGAGAATCTATATCACGAGTCAAATACATTAATTCTGCAAATAAGATAATCAAAATGGATGAAAAAGAAGGAGTGAGGCGAAAGATAGCAGATATGCGTATAAACATGAAGAACAATTTAAATTGAATAAATTTGCATTCAGCGCAAAACAAGGCTACGCAGACGTAAAAAAAGAGATATCGCATCTTGCGCACAATTTTTTACGCAAACGTATTATTTCAACAAGAACCGTAAATAACGCGGCTGTATTTTACCCGCAAAGTTTTCCGCGAAAGCAAGGAAGTTCAGGACGAATTCGTCCGCGATCCATAAAGTAAAAAACGCTTCTTATTCGCAGGGAGGAAAGAACGCCGACGACTCATTGAGGAATACACAGGTCTCATACTTTTTGTATGACATCGCAATTCGGAAGACTGATAGGGCATTATTTCCTTTCTAGCCCGGAGCCACTCGATTAGCCGGTATAGGTGAACCTGTATCAGCCTTGACCTCCTCGCCCTTTGGACCAACCTGGACCGACGCCGAAACCACTCGAGAAGCCCATTTCCGTCCGTCGTCACGGCAAATTGCATTTCCTCCTCGTGATCGCTCGTTACCGCTGAAAGAAGGGATTATGGCGGGTGGAAAGGGATAAAGCTGCGGGCTGTCGAAGAGAGAGATAGAGAGATGAGAGGAGGTGGGGAAGGAGGAGACAGCTCGTTGCGCTTCATTTTTGTCTTCTCAGCTCCTTACCATTTTTCTAATTCTCACCTTCCTTCTTCGTTGCTTCGCCTCGCCGGGAAGTCTCTCGCCTTTGAAACGAAAGGGTTCCGGCTCGCGATTAACTCCTCCTGGACGTTGAATTTTACATCACCGCTAAGCGTGCGCACTTTTCTTCATCACCGGCGGGTTATTAACCCGCCACGTTGCAGATAAGCCGCGTAAAAAATTGGAGGGAAGAAAATTTGGAGCGAACGTAAATTATTCGCCTCGACGATGCGATAACGAAGTTGATTAAATGTTTAAGGCCTCGCGGAGTGCTGAAGTTTCGCTTTCAAGATTCCGTATTAATTTTGCAATAGTTCTGCGGCTGACCTGATTACATCACCCTACTCGAGTTTACATCTAAAAACGAAAAGAAAAATAAGATGAAAAGTCGTTCCAGAACATTTACCACAGACACGTTGATACAAACAAGTCGATAATAACCGTGCGTCTACAATTATCAGTTTAAACGGTCAATTCTTTTCTGTCATTCCAACGACATATGTATCGATAAAACATCTGATATTGCGGCATTTAATGCGATCGGTTCAACGCGGGCTTCGATGACGCGTGAAAGGAGGCAGCGGTAAGGAAGCAGGAAAGAAAGCGTCTCCGCGATAGTGGGAATAAAGAAAGTCCACGATTCGGTAATGTCATCCTTTATCTTCGATTTGTCAGGCACTGTGTTACGTCCGCTGTCCGACGCGAATTGCAATCGCAATATCGGCACAACGGGTACGAGTGAAACATATGCATAACGTAACGTAATTCATCGATGGCTTCGCCATCGCGACGTAACGTAGCGCCGAACGCAACGCAATTTCGACTCGCCTGGTTCGTCATCGCGCATTTAACGATCGCAATTATACGGTCGCAATTGTGCGCCCTAATAATCGCACAATAGTAACTGATAACAATGAATAGTCATCGGGTGTCGCGCGACGGAACATCGCCGACGACGACGTCGATGCAACAATGACGGATGATAATAAAATATCTCGTCTCAACGGTAACATTAACGACGCAACAATAATAACGATAATCTTCATTATTACTATTATTATCCATCTAATTAACATTATTCACCGCCACTTTCCTCTCTCTCTCTCTCTCTCTCTCGCATTGTCAACAATTAAACTATGAAAAGTGGTAACACCGTTTTCTCCCTCCTCTCCTTCGCGGTTTTCCTGCTTGTGTGCGCGCTGTCTATATTTTCTATACGTATGTACATTTGCCATGAAACCGCAAATGGCTATCGGATCAAGATCTTAAACGCGGGGATCGGCGAAGTCTGGCAATGTCGCGCTCTCGCCGCCGTAAAATACTTCCGAAAATATATTCCTCGCACGCTCCTTGCGACCTACGTATTGTACTTATTCGCTTACATCTATCGGGTATATATCACACGTTATCATAGGGCTGTGAAAAGTCTCTCTTTTCGACGCGTCCAAGTTATCTCTCGCTGCCTGACGCTCACGCTCGGCGGAAAACGTCTTTCCGCATTCCGGGAGTATTGACTTACGCGTCCGTTTCGGGATACGCTCTCGCTGCGAGGGCTCGACGTCTGCAAGAGATTTATCTGTGCTTGCAAAGCGTGCGCAATTTCGCATCGAGGAGGCTGCGTCCGCGGAGAAAATTCGATGGCGGAGATACGCCGTGCGATCTCGATAGTTTCGACGATATATCCGTTACTGAATACGGCAAACAGCAGATTCGAGAATCGATCGGCCGCGATGGTTTGCATCGTGACTCGAAAATTCGCGTGAGCAAAGAAATATTACTTATAAAGTATCTCAATTATTTGAATTAATCGATAGCTTGACAAATATGTTTAGTGTATTGCTTTGAATTTATGGACGCCGATCTACGCTTTTCGCGAGAGAGCGTTTACTCATCAAGGGCGTGTTGTCCACGTCTTCAGCGGTGAAAGGATTAACACACGAAATTTTCCTAGTTCTAAGCCTTAAACTCTACGATCATCACTTCGGCACGAAATTTGTATGAGATGTGACTTTATAAATTGCATACGCCAATGCGCGGTTTTGTGCCGGCGATGAGACACGTAGTGGGCGGCATTTGAATTCGCTGTTCGCGTGACACGCTTATGGCACCGTTAACCATCGACCGTCAGCGAGCGGCGTGCTCGAACGACAAACGTGCGTGGCCGGGGAAAAGCCGGCGGAACCGTCTTATATCGGGATACGTACGCGTGTTAAAACGCGACACGCGCAGCTCATTGCTGAGCGCGTGCTCGTCCTCGGCCTGGTCCGCGCCGATGTTTTATTAACGAGACGGTGAAACTTACGGGGAAACCCGTTCGACCACCGAGAGCTCAACTTTTAAAAACTGGAGTACAGAGAGAAAAATGGAACGAGTATGAACGAAAGCGGGAAGCAAACCGACGAATTAACGGAAGTATCGATTACGATAACAGTATTTCAGTTTGTTTTTTTTTTTCAGTAGAAAAATTTATGTCTCGGAGATAAATTTAAGATATGTCGAATTCAACAATCAATAGTGAATAAAAAAACAAAGATAATTTTTCTTGACTTTATGAATTTTTCGAAGAATGAGGATGCAGTAAACGAGGTGTAACCTCGTCGCGCGATTTACGATCTCACCGAAGTATGGTATTTCCCCAAGCTCGTCGGGACGCGCGTGTCGCGGATTCCTCGATCGCGAGATTTAATAGGTGTGCTTAAAAAAAAAAAGAAGGGAAGAAGAAAATAATACAACGTCGCGAGGTGTTTTAACGGCGAGAGCTCGCGTCATCTTGCGCGACCGCATATTCCGCCGCTTGCGGAATTTTCAATCTCGCTCTTCGGCACGTAACGCCGCGGCGTTGTCTCTTATTTATGGCCGACGCTCGCACCTGCTCGCACTCTCGTTTTTACTCTCGTTGTGCTGCGGCGTAACATACCCGCATGCAAACGATACCGCCGATTCGCGGACACTCGCGGCGTCAGCAACAGCGGACTTGCGAAAGTTCGATCGTCTCGTTCGACGGATCGCGTTTGAGAGATTGGGTCGTCGAATGGACGAAAGGAAAGATTGCAAAATTGTATATGGATGCAATGTCGCGATATTTTAATATTTTTAGTTAAATTAACATTCCCAACAGCAAAATGATTTCTTAACAAAATAATATACTGAAAGAAAATCAAGAATATTTCCCGTATGCGTAAAAAATATGCATAAAAAATATCTTGTAGCTAATAAAATATATACGAGAAAATTTAAATGGTTACGCTCGGAAATGAAAAGAAATTTAATTTCGAACGGTTGAAATAAAATAATTGAAGTAGTATTTAAATTGTCGGCACATTACGTGCCGGATATTATTTTTAATAATTAATAAAGACATACACGAAAGCATTGAAATTATGTTTGAAAATTCGAGAAACGAATTAAATTTTAAAACACCGAAATGAAAGAACCGAAACATAATTTAAATTAACGATGCATTATGCGCCGATTAATTTTCGAAATTATTCCTTTGGTGGTGACATCAATATACATTTAGGAAATATTATAAACGCGGGAGCAACGTGAATAGCTGTATTCGAGCGAATCTCCGATACGTCTTCCGCACACAACGCGCCGCTGCACATTGGCGTGAAATTTCGTTCCGATAGAAATTAGTTTCGTTCTGGGTTTAAAGGTAGGCAGGAGCGCTCTCTAAATGGCGTTCCCGCGAGGCATGACCTATTTCGAGGCTCGCCGGCAAACCAGTTATGCCTGCTAATCATTATTGCATACTTAACTTTCGTTGTGCATTTACGATGGCAATAGCCTTTGGCGCTGTACGGAATGAAAAAATCTTGTAACTTTCGACGGTATATCGCGCCGATGGGGAAATAATGTCAACGTTAACTCCTTTACGCGCGCAGTCGCGACGAGATTACTTGCCACCGCACGAGTTATTCCACGCGCGCCGACGCTCGATCAAAGCCAGGGTCAATTGTGCAATTCCTGATTTTCCAACCTCCCCGTCGCAGTAAATTACCAATCGATCGGCTCGAAAAGACTTGCGAATTTATGTTGCACGATATATGTAATGTAACGAAATATACAGGAAACAAAATTGTAATATAACCGAGCAAGAGGTGATCCCTTGTCTAAAATTAACGTTCGTAATAAGAAATTTTTCAACTAGTAAAATAAATTAACTTTAACTGTTTATCATATTTTTCTCTTTAATCGTCCTTCACGTGAAATCTAAATTTCACGCAAGCCTAATAACATGTACGCTGTTCCGAAAAAGGTCAATTGCATACGCACTTGCGCACTCACGAATAACAGAACACCGAAAGTCGCAAAATTGTACGAGTTTAGACCAACTATGTTGAATTTTCGCAAAAAAATTGTTTAACGATTATCGCAAATTTCTGAATTGAATGGATGAGAATCTTTGAAATCGCGTAAGTTATACTTAAGAAGGTTACGTTTAGGGTTTGGAGCAGAAATTTGAGTGTTTCGCTCCACTGTGTGTCGCGTTTTGCACGTGTGAAATCTCGCGCGAGTCTCTCGGACCGGGGCAATCGCGCCGTCGCCAAAAGTCCTAACAAGCCCCCTTTACGGCAACGTCCCCGATAAGAAAGTTTTTCGTGAGCCACCGGAATCTGTATTTACCTTCGGCGCGCGTCGTGTATCCGGATTATTTATTTTTCCCCGGTGGTTACACAGCGCCGATGGGGGTCGACGCGAATGCACCGTCGAAATCGTTACGTATTCCGCGTCGCGCGGCTCGTGCCCGGAATTGCGAGTTGGCCCGGTTTCGCGAAAGAACGTTCGGCGAACTTTGATAATCACTCGAAATTCCCGCCGTCTTCCGCCGAGACCTTCGTTCAATTTTGAGGATTAAGTATAAGGTGACCCGGATCCCGCGCGTTTACGGATTCCCCGACGGACACGGACTTCCTCACTTTTCCGTCCGACGACAGGGGAAACGTCGCGACGGTTTTACTTCTCATTTATAAATGATGGAAAACGAAGAGAGCTCCTCGTAGGAATAGAATTTCGAGAACGTCGATAAACTCCGAAACCTTATTCTCCGCGCGATTTTAAGTGCACTTCGCCTCAACGGGAATTTCGTAACGTTGAATACTTGAAAGGATGTAAAAATAAAGGAAAACGTTAAAAAAAAAAAAGAAAAGAAGAAAGAGGGACATTGAAAACGCTCGATGGAATTTTCGGTGCGGCAACATCGAAGGTGTCGAAAAATTCACGGATGACAAAAGAGGGAGCTCAGAATGTCTGAGGCACTCTGTGTAATTCCCGAGCTAACCTTTCCGAGCTCTCCAGGTCGCGCGCGAGAGAGTTCAGAGGGCCATTAAATTTATTCCTTACAAAACCCCTTCCCCTCGCTCCCTTCATCCGCCGCGCACCTTTGACGCTCGTCGACGGCTTTCTCGTACCGACCGTCAATTAATCAACGTGAGCGCGCGCGCGTTACAGCGCTGACAATGATAATATAAAATTATTCGTCTCGGCCGTGCGTGGGCGCGAGCGAGCGATAAATTCATATACCGCAAACGGAATGATTTGTTAATGGACGTATCAGCCCCGGGACACTGCAGTCTCCGCGACAACTGCAGTTGCCGCGACGTTTTGCTCGTTTGTTTAGTCACGCTTGCAAGCAGAAACGGATACCGGTTTCCGACGTGGAGCGCTTCCGACGTGCTCTGACATTAGTTACGCAGATTTTGCGCCACGGAGAGGAGCCGCGTGCATTATGCCGACGCGATCGACGAAGAAGCATCCTCGGCATGATTTACGGATCGTACGCTAAAAACCTGTGCGAGTGCGAATTCTCGTCTGTTCCATTGATGGGCTGTCGATGTATTCTAAATGTCATTTATACGCGTATCAAAGGATCGACCTGTGTGAACTAACGTGGCGAAATCTAGGGAGGACGATTACATGGTCGCGATGTTGCATAATCGATCGCTACAGTAAAAAGATCTTCTATCAAGCGAGGAGTGTCGCACTGAATTAACTCGAATCCGCGTGAGACGCCGCATTTCCTTCGTCAAAAACTTGCGAACGCACCATTAACGGTGTTTCCGTGGTCTTCTGCAAACTACCGCGGGAAATGAATCTTCATTTTCTTGTTGCAAGAGATAAGATCTTTCCGTTGATAGAGAATCAATGACATGATAGGAACACACTTGAGGGCAGTGTGCCGGTCGCCTGTACGCCGACACGTCTAGAACGCACGTCGAGAATGTCTAAGCTATCACCTGTCGCGCAATTCGCACTAGACGAAGCGGAAAAATAGGTTACGAACAAAATATGCGTTAGCGGCATATTGTGCGGATAAATATAAAATATTCGGCCAACGTCTACGTTATATTAGAACAATATACGTCGCAATCAAAATATGTAATCCATGTATCCATTCAAACAGTTTGCGCTAATGAAACGAGCGTTCATAAATATTGAGAACATAAACAGTAAATTTGTGAAAAGCATTTTCTCTCTTTCTACTTGATTTCTTTAAGTAACCATTGCTCACCTGTTATTAATCGCAATTCCGCCGCTTGAGTAAGTAAAGTGATAGTTTAGATATTCTACGTGTAAATTATCGTTGTTTTCTCGATGTTGCTCGATGTCTTCCACCAATCGATCATTCTAATAGAAAGTACGATCGCTCGTGAAAAAATTGCAACAACGAATCTCCGTTCCCCTAGAGTCGCGAGAGAATATTTATCAATCGAACCTCACACGTCATATTCCACAAATTATTATTTTTATTATCTCGATGCGCAAAATGAAATTTTACTTAATTTCAGACAATTCAACACGAAAATACAAGTGATTCACGAAAAATTCTCGATTTTGTTTCATCGTGAGAGTAATGTAAATTACCATTCTCGTGAAAAATCTATTAAAACATTCCGTAAAAATCTCAATCTACCGATAAAATGTTTCACTTGAAAATATATATCCCGATTCGCAATCTATTCCTCCCGCTTTCCTGAAAAGTAGGTAATACCTTAATTGATGCCCTTCGTACCAGCGCCGGCGATTCATCGACGTTAATCTTCGATCGAATATCATCGATCTTGGCTCGAGGCGACGTCAACGGGCAAATGTGGGTTACACTCCGCTCGGTAAACGCTCGAAGGCAAAGCGGAGAAATCAAGGCCCGTCGCACAAAAGCCGCTCGCTGCAACATGCGAGGCACGACGTGCACACCCGAGGACAATAACTATTAGCAAACTTTATAACGAACTTGGGTGTACCCGTTCATCCGCTGCTGTCGGGGGATCAGACGTGAAATCGGTGTCTCGCTCGATATCGACGTCAATATCGGCTCTTTTGTCGAACGATTAATGGCAGAGTGTGTGTGCCTTCGCGAATGCTCCGAGCGGCTTTCGCGACGATTTTGGAATAGCGCGAGGAAGCGGACTGTTTCGTCGCGAACGTGCTTGCATCCGTAATCTTCGTGGATTTCATTGCGAAACGCGATAAAGTCGATCGCGACTCAAGTAGCGGCAAGATGATGTGACTCTATGTACAGAGGAGCGGGGGCTTCTCCGTGTTCCTCCGGACTCGTAGAGGTAATCATTTTCACAGAATCTTGGAGTTTACAACGAGGAAAACTTGTAGGAACTGCTGACGTATGCTAACTTTACGTTTCACTTTTTAGGACAGGGGACGCAGTTTGTTTATAGTGATGCGTACACGCTCTAATACTGAAATCGAAGGGTATATTTCCGAAAATATATTTCTTCTCGGCTCCTTCCACGAAGGCACTCGACTCGGGGATCGATGTCAAATTGTAACTGCTACGTTTAATAAACTGAAGATTAAATCGAATCTTAAAACACTGTGCGTCGTCGACGATTCGCCCTTCCATCGTTCGTTTTCTCGCGATATTCTCGTCTTCCGCGACGCTCGCTCCCGAAATCGCGCTTTCCCGCGAACCAGAGCGACGATTAGGTTCGAAACTTCTCGCGAGTTTCACGCGAGCATCGACTCCCGTCGATTTTAACGTTTTTCATCGGAGATAGAAACTCGGGGAGAAGGTTTTTATTAAAAATATCCATCTCCCGGCTGTGTCCTCTCGGCGCGTCTCGCAGACACTCGCGACCTACGGAAACAATTTCTCAACGGGCAACCCGCTTATCGGTACGATTAAGTAATATCATCAATATGAGCTACATCGCTAGCACTTTTACAAGACATTCTCGTCAAAGATCCTTCGTCATCGTCTAAGACCGACAATGCAATGCGCGTCACTGACGGCGACGAGGATGACGGTTGCATCGTTCTCGAAGAGTAGGTAACAATTTTCACTGGCGATAAGCATCGCGAAAGTTTAAGGCTCGACTTATGCGCGATAGGAGCGCGTCCTTCGATGCACTGACACGATACAACGCACAGCAAACGTCACGCATTCCATCGATGTAAACGGCCAGCCGTTCGTAGAATCGTGACAACGAGCCCCCGGTTCCTCGTAATTGGAACGACCCTGAACTCCTCTCCTGCCGTCGCGATAACGACTTTCACCGGCACTTCGAGAGACCCCCCTCCCCAGGCCGACGAAAACGCTCGATCTCGTCATCGACCCGAGAGAGAACTCGTCCGTATCTTCAAGGACGCGAACTTGACGCGTCCTTGCCGCAGCAATTTACTTCGCGACTTTCCCGCTAATTCACCGGGTTGAAAGGGTCTCTCTCTCTCTCCCCGAGAATGCCCTTGCTGCTCGTGATTAATGAAGCGATCGAGCCTCGCTCGTTGATGTATCACGTTAGGAGATCGAGAGGAGGGACACCGCAACAATCGATAATCATTGGGAACATCTCGGATGATTACGGGGATCACCGGCGTGATGATAATCAGCCGGTATCCGTGGTCTGATGAGTATGCATTCATGGTTGAGCCGGCACTCGCGTGGGAACATTTGAACCGTGGCTTCCAGTCTTCTGGTTCGTCCTTCGATCGATCGTCCGGATCTTAATTGCTTTCCTCCGCTCCGAAGCTCGGAAGAATACAATCGCTCCCTTCGCAAGGAATCGATTGTGCCGGCACAATGGCTGTCCTCCTCATCCGCCCGGCCGATCGATATATATTCGGGACGATTCCCCTTAAACACAAACAGCAAGTAACATCCTCCAGTCCGCGTACATCCGTCTTCATTGCCGCGGCCGATCTTCCGGTGAGGTAAGATCCCGCCCGAGTCGATGACTAGTTTCAGATAAATCCGCGCGCTCGTTCCAATAAAATCCAATTGGAGCCGCGCGAATTCTCTCCCCGTGCCACGATGAAGATCTACGACGTCGCAGCGGCAGCCCGACGGCTTCCTCGGGTCGTCGCCTCGCGAGTCACATACCGCCGGTGTCCCGTTCTCACCGCGTGTACCTAAATCAATCACCCCGGTCGAGCGGCGGCGCCGACTGGAAAATCCACGAGGTCTCGGCAAAGTTTTCGCTTCGGGGGGGCTTCGATCCGCGAGGAGGAGGAGGAGGACGGTGGTTCTTCTGGGCTACGCGACGATGTCCATGTCGGACGAGGAATTCGACGTGGTCACCGCCAGGCTGCCCAAGGTGTCCTCGTCGGCTAAGCCGTGGTGACAGGCGGTCGCAGGTGGGCTCAACGGTGGCAGGTGCGGCGACGACAGCATCGGGTCGCCGCCGTGAACGGGGCCGCCGGTGTCGTCCTCCATGAGGTCCTCGAGCTGCGACATGCTCAGGCTTGTCGCCTCTTCCGTCACCAGGTCCGGCATCTACGACAGAAAAACATCCGACATTCTATGAAACGAGCCAGTGGGGCCCCGCGGATGGAATTCGACGTGGGGGAAGGAGAGGAACGGTTTCAAGGAAATTGCACGGCGAAATCTTCTTCTTGAAGGATGGTAGTCGCGCCAGTTTGATCGGCGATTGACAGTACGGATGTCGGGATAATGAAATTGAGTGTTAAATGCTGCTTTCGTTCAAATAATAAGATTGATCAGAGGGATTACTCCTTTTCAATCGGAAAATGGTTCGAAATGTTAAATACTTGGTAGAGTCTGAATTTAAACATCTACCGGCGATCGAAGACTTACACAACTTGACAAAATAAGCTGATTGAAGCCGTTCCTCTGCCAGACGCGGTTAGCTGAGGCAACTTTGCGAAGTCACACAGGCAGGGTCGGCTTACCAGACCCGGAATTAATTTCCAATCGCATTTCAGGCGCAAACGACCGTCATCCAATTTACTTGTCGTTATATTACCGATGCAACTAATTCATCAAGTTCCTCGTCGATCCTCGCCGCGCTGAATTTACGGGAAATTATGTAAATACCCCCCGTCGGATCTAACACGTTACGAGGATTTTGAAGGGCGCGTGCAAAAGAAACGACAGGAGCCTCCAAGAAAGACCCTATAAATTACAGCCGCGGAAAGCTAATAGAACACGGATCTTACGAAAAACAAAAAAGAAGTCGGCAAGCGTACTAAGTGCGTTTCTTGCACGCTTTAGCAATAAAGATGTCTGCTTTCGGCCGTATATCTCGCGAGTCGTATGAATTCATACTTCACGCGCGATATTCCGCGAAGCGATCGCATGTGCTTTTTACATAACTGCACTCGGACGCGGAGGGCGTTAAATTTGCATGAAAAAATGCCGCGGCGCACGGTGGTTGCGCAACGTGTTTCTGACGTTACAACTCATTCAGCGATTATCCTTTGTCCCAACGGCCGGCGCGTTCTTCGCGAAAATATACCTGGCGAGATGCGAGATAAAAGGTATAAGTCTCACGGCGGAGAGGTAGCACGTACGATAAGGCGGGCGCGGGCAGACCGGCGATAAGGAGTGCGAGAAACGTACGCACCACGTCGGTGGTAAAGGTAAATATTTTCCACCGACGTTCAGCGCGTGCAGATTTAACACGCAATTGTGTTAATGCGATTATGCAATCTCGAACGTTGCTCGATAATGTCTTCCAGCGCAAATCGAGGCGTGTATTTCTCACTGTCATGTGCATCGAAAAATATTCTTTTCTTCATACCGAGTGGACGAATTTTCCTGTAATCTCGTTTTTCACATGAATAACTTCAAAAAATTTCAATAAAACGGAAGAAATTTTTCGTTCAAATGCCAATCAATTTTTCACGAGTGGTATCTTGCTGAACTAGACAAGATATTATACAAAGAAGTTCTAAAAAAAAACTACTAGCCAATAATTCATCAATTAATAGATTTCAATAATTGGAGAAACTCTCTCCTTTATGAAACTTAATTCTCGTGCATTTTTTTTTTTTATATAAAAATAGAATACTTCCATCCGCTTTTCTCTCTCTCTTTTACTTTCTTTTTCTCAAAGTAATTGATCGTTATCCGAGTTACAGTTCCACCGGATCGTTTCGCGCAAAGTAAATCGAGGAACGAAATTAACGTTAAACAAACCGTCGTTAAGTGTCGTCACGGTAAAATTTCGTCGTGCAATACGTCCCGAGACACTTCCTTCGCCTCGACAGAACTCGCCGACAGAGTCGCGGAGTGGGACGTTATCAATGTTTAAATTTCTAACCGCGAGGAAGCTGCTTGTCAGACTACTTACACTCCGCGACGGAACTTTATCTCGGACAATAATTCAACTCATCCCTCGGTACGTCATGCCGCATCTCTCTTTTCGCTATCTCGCACGTCGCAACGTGGCTACGTTTCCGAAAACGCGGACGAGAGCGGACGTAAATTAACGTCAATGTACACAACAATCGCGCAGTCATCGTAACGAATCGTTGCGAGACGAAGGGCGAGCTTTCGACGTCTTGTCCCGGAGAAATGCGAGCGACATTGCGCGATTTGAACGCGAGCAGGATTATAAACAAAGATGATTATAAATTATCGCGGAGACGCACGCATATTCTTCGAATTTGTTTGACGATATCGAGTGAGCTCTTCCTCAGAAATATCGACGGTGTTTAATGAAAGAAAATGTTATACAAATTTTTCAAAACGCCTTTATCAGTGCACAATTGACATTAGCGGAGTAAAGACGCGTGTACGGATATTGCTTCATCATTCTAATAGCATACCTGTTGGATTTCTGGAAGAAGTTCATCTAGCTCATTTACGGAAATATCAAAATTGATAGGTATTATGTTTAGAAACAGGTAGAAAAGTGTTAGCATTCTTAACTCGCTTATCGTGATACATTTTCTTTCATCGTTGCCATCTTCTGAAGCTATATCTTAAAAACCAAACTTTCGCGAACATACGTTTATTAGGACACTTTTTAACTTACTTTTCAACACGGAATCTATCCTGTAAATTTATCGGTAGAGTTCATTTCAATAGAAATGTAAAACCCTGTATATTATAAAGGTTGGTAAGGCAATCTCTTCGACGAAGAAATATTTAATGTTACCTCTAATTCTGCTATCCAATATAATTAATAATCTAATCTTTTACACGTCAACGTTAATTACGACGCCGACATAGCAGGAATATAATTATTTCTCGTACCGATATGGCTGTAATATATCCCACGTATCATCATTTCCGACGCCTCAAATTCGTCGTCAAAAATTCACGACTGCGGACGGACGTCGGTTAAGCCACGACTGCCACTACGTCGGCACGCGGGTGTGATAATAACATTAATAATCCACTTCTCTCTCTCTAACCTCTTACCGATATATCCTCTTTAAGAGGCCCGAATTTGTCGTCACAGAGGCGACTGATCGCGGTGCTTATCGGCGCTCCGAATTCTTAATCACGAAACCGCATGTCAAGCCTCGTATGTATGTACGTGCGCGACTTTATCGGGCACACAAATTCAACGGTAACTTTTGCCGCCATCTCCACGAGATATCTCCGTCGTCGGGCGCCTTAAAGAGCAACGTCGACAACCAGCGCCGACGACTATCTCGGAGAGATTCGGCCGGAATCGAGAAGTGAAATCGTAACAAGAGACAAAATGAACGATTAACGCGACGGCCACAACGATAAGCCGCAATTCATTATTCGGGACAATAATCCGCGCGAACGAAGAATCGTCGAAGAAAGATAGTCAAGCGCTGCTCTACGTCGAACTTGGTCATACATATATAATGATAACGTTAAAACGTATATAATACTCGATTTTTCAGATTTTTCTTTAAAAACTGAAATTGTAATGTCCACGTAATAATTTGTAATTATTGTAGAAAAGGCTTTCTAGCTGGTTATCGCAATTATTATGACAATCATTACAATGCGGTGTAAAATTGAAAATTCACACGGCTCGTTCGAGCGCCGTCGAAAATTTCGAAAGGCGTCTACGAGGCCCGGCGCATACATATCGCAGCGTATCGCGCCGATCGTCACTTCGCATCGTGAGATCGAACGGTCGCGTCATCTCGAAAGTCGCTCGAGGCGTTGCGAAGACTGACACGTTAATTGTACGTAAATGAAAGAGAAAAAAGAGCCATTTTTCATTATGCAAGCACGGCGTGGTCGGTTACGTAATGGAACCATTGCGCTACGTCGACACGCCGTCAAAAGACGTCTTTGCTGCATGCGAGAGGAATATGTATCGATAATCGGAGACGGCACACCGAAGTGCTCTCTCGCACGCGTACGGCAGAACGAACGAATAAGCAAACAGCTATTCGCCACAGTCGGAACAGATGCACATTATGAAACTAGTCCGGGGGAACGAGCGGAAGGTTTATTCGGATCAAGGATCACGGATCGATCGGTCGCTCCACAGCCTCGAAAACCGACCGCGCGCGGCTGTCGCATTAAGATTAAATGTCTCGCCGTTGCGACACTGAGCCTCTGTAATACCATCGACCGAAATTGACGCTATCGTTCGAGCGTGCGCGCGAGTAGAGGTGTCGCACGTATATCGCCGAGTAAAAATTTACTCTCCCTCTCTTTCTCTCGAGTCAATTGCTTCGCGATCAATTAACGCCAGCATAAAGCGTCGGGAGCTTGGAAATGAGTGAGACGAGCGAATCGAGATTGAGTGTAAAGAGGAATTATGATATGGACGTGAAGAAAGTTGTGAGAAGCACGATGCACGATGGAAAAGCGATACGGTGGATATGTATCGATAGCGAGATAAAAATATAAAAAAAAGAAAATGATTTTCGACTCACATGTACCTTCCGTTGTTCGAGTTTACTCCTCGGGAAGCTATTGAGCATGGTCACGGAAGTCGACGCCCAGTTGAAGTCCGAGACCGGAAGTCCGTGCGCCTTCGCCTGCAGTTCGAGCTCCTGCACGCGCAGGAGTAGCCGTCGATTTTGGTGCTCAAGCTGCTTGTGCCTGAGCTCGTTCTGCTTCATCCTCGTGAGCTCGTTCTTCAGCAACTTTATGTACTCCACCGAAGACTTGAGGATCGTACCCTTGTTCGGCCTGACATCCCTAACGATCTCGTAGTATCTGCAACACGACGGCGGAGAAACAAAATTACACCCGCCTCGCATTTCTCGACTCACGCGATAATGGTGCGCGCTCGATGAAGAAAGTTTAAGCACATCGAACGTTTTGTCGACCGCTGTCACGTATATACATGATTTTATTTCGCCAGCAGTTATCATCTTGTAAATATTTCTCGACGATGACAGTCCGTAATTGCGATATTGTAAGGGCATATTTATGGATTTACATAAGCAACGCTAAGAAATTAATACGTAATCACGTAATTCCACGGTATATGTAATGTGTAAGAAGCAAAGTGCGCGAGCACCGCGCTCACGTTTTCAATTTCCCCGTATTCTCTCAAAGAAATAAAAAGGCGATGACAAGCGTGAAAGCGACGAGAAGGGAGTTCCTCTTTCTCTCTCTCTTTGAAACCCTAGGCGGGCGATTATTTCGTCGGAAACGTGTTCGAGACAGGGTGTTTCGCGGGAGATTCCCAAAGTTCCTCACCCGACCGTAATACGACCGATATTACCGTCTCCTGAGTCACGCCTCGCACCGCCGCCGTTGCTGACGTTTCGAGGGCCGTCTCGAGATGGAATTCCGCGCGGGAATTCGCGCGGAATATCAGACGCACGTCAGGCCGCGATAATTCGACGGGACGTAGGCAACGAAATCCCGAAGAATTTCCATAAAGCGAGGAGCCGCGCACGCACGCCGCGGCGGCGCTTCCTCCTCGCCGTTCTCGTTGTGTCACCTCAGACACGGGCGATTTGTTGTTAGTCCCGGGGATTTCTCACGGCGACATGTCCTCGAAAAATTCATGAGGGCCCGGCGCAACGAGAAGCGAAACGCGGCAGTATCTTGGACTCTTGGCGGAGTCGCGCTTCTTCGCGAGATGCGTCCGCGACGATCCGGGCGCGGACAATCTCGCCGTGCCAGTGTAAAGGATGCACGCAGCGCGCGACTGGCGAATGAGAATGCGGAGACGAGAGATGCGCGAGATTGCCAGGGAGAGTGCAAATTTTCTCCTGGAACCTCCGGCAATTTACCGTAGACGGCGTCGAGAATACGACGTAGCTTCGAGGCGACGTATCGCGCACAAAATAAAGATTCAAGTAACTAATTAGTCCTCAGCAAATTTTTACTTGGTTTAACTAAATATTACTTGTAAGTAAATATTATTAAAAAGAAGATCGGTTTTGTTACTTGGAAAACAAACGTATTCTGAAAATAAAATTAAATAAAAAAACACGCAGTTTAACGTTATACGATTTTTCAATTTCTCTACAAAAAATTTCCGAAAAATATTTTTCACGACCTTTCCAACTCCTTTAAATCGTTTTCTGAACAATGAGTAATCATTGCCAGGTAAGCCCAAACAAACTCATTTTTCAATGTAGGTGGAGTTTTTTCTGCCAAACAAAAAAAAACGGTCACATCTCGGATGACTAATGGGACACGCTGAAATCAATAATAAGATATATCCGATAAGATACGGATATTATCCGCGAGTATTGTAATTCGCGCGATAAGCATATACGTGAGTATTTGTAATTGAACAACACGTCGCCTGGAAAAACTAGATTGCCCGGTCTATCTTGTAGATAGCATTTCGCGCGAAAGCTTACTTGTTGTGTTATCGTCGATACACTTTCTTCGTCGGTTTTCGCGATAACGGATATCTGAAAAGCATGCGCAACTTGCAGCGGGAAGACTCGTGCGCGCAAGAGATCGCCTGCGGAATTTTTGTATAAAGGATACTCCCCTCCAGGAGAGGTAGGCCACAGATTCGCCGTCGCGATTTAAATATTTCCCACGCGGAACTCGCGCACAACACTCACGGATTTTCGTCGTTATTCACGCCCTTTTTTTCGCGCTACGAAACGCCGCCGCTTCTCTCGTGCGTCGCGTCTATCTCTCTCTCGCGTGCGAGCACGCAAGCGTTGATTTACGGCGGAATCGTTCCGTCGATTTATCGCCCGAAAAATCGCAGAGTGCCGTCCACGAGGAAAGCGGCGAATGGAAAGCCTATTATGAGACGGCATTCGTCATGTCCGGGGCGACGCATTCATCCTACGTGGACTTCGTGCGAATTCAACCCTCCTCTCCTCTTTGCCTCCCCTAAAGAAAACATAATCCTCCGCCTTATCCTGCGGAATACCGATGATCGGAGACGCGTCATGCAGCTGTCGCATCCTCAGATTCACCCGGCATCGCTTGTATGACATCGAAATGTCCCGCCGTAACTCCCGAGCGAAGTAATGGTTCAAATTCGCGTTAAATCGCGCATTAATCTTTTCAAAAAAGGGCTCAATTTTTAATTTCATTCAAATACTCTGCAATCGGCGACTTAGTACTTCTTTTATGTGTTCTAAAAGTTTTGCCTATAAATAAAGATTATTATGATAATTTATATTGTTATTCTCGAAGGATATATTTTTCTATTGAATACCGGAATACGTTTCTAAGGATTTGTCGAGGTAAAAGTATCGCGACCTTGCTACTATTGATTCTACGGGCGAGAAAAGAAACAGATTACTGAACTTTCTTTACTGTTTTATGCATTTCCGGCGAGATAGCGCACATTCTCACAGAAACGTGAGCAGCGCCGGTAATAATTACAGTCTCGGTAAGACTGCAATTAAACTCATGCGCGATCAAGAATGGCGAATTGTAACGAGACTCGCGAGATTTTGCAAAACTCGAAAACCAAAAAGGCCGCGCGGAGTACCGAACAAAGCACTTTTCCGCAAGCGATGAGCGTGTTTCGTTCAACAAGTTCGCGACGACCGGATTCGACGACGTACTTTAACTACACCGTGCGTTCCCGCGTCGAATTCTGCATTTTATTAATTTTCCATATCGCGCAGAGAAGATGCGTGTGTTTTTAGCCGCTGAATTGTTCATGACGCGTGGCTTTACGGGTTTCGTAACGAGAGTAGATACCGCCCCGCCATCAGCACGTTGCCAAGTTAACTCTCGCGAATTAATATTCCGACTCGTTGCATCTTTCAGCGAGACCGCCCGCGCGTTTCGCCAACTTTTGCTGTCGAATACGACTGGATCCGTATAATTATCATTACTTTCCACGGTGAAATTTTAACACGCGCAACTTTTAGTTTGCATCCTTGCCGCGTTAAGCGCGACTATTTCGCCCTCTCGCCGTTCCTCGAGTGCAATCTTTATGTTGGACGCGTATTCTGCACGGAATATCTGTTGAGAATCATCGTTCGAATCAAAGTTTGCTACAACGATTATCAGCGCCACAGATTTTTATGGAGCCGTATCTTTGGAATCTTCAGAGAGATAAGACTTGTTACACGCGTCCGAAGAACAATAACCACGTGCATTCGAGTAGAAAAATCCACGCAGTCTCTTGAACGCGCTCGCTACCGGCACTGCACGTGTGCGACGCACCGATTTCTCAAGAAGGATCAACGTCACGTATGACAACGATCATTGTTTTCTTCCTACATTTAAGTAAAAATCTGCTAAGGAATAATTATTTGCTTGAATCTAACACTTTTTGCATGTCCACGTAAATAAACCAAGTCTGCTTTGCATATTATAGAAAAACACGCGGGGATAATTTCCCAAACGAACGGTAGCAACGAACGTGTTGAGTACAAGTCGCGAGCAAAGGTTCGTTCTTTCGCATTGCACGATGCAACCTGGCGAAAATCAATTACCGTTTTATTGCGATTAACGAGAAGATGCGCCTGAATTGTTAAGCGTTTCAACACCGTCGCGACGCGTTTGTGGACCTCTCTGCTGTTCGGGAGTCGCGCGGTTTTCGTACGGCGCGTCGGGAACGAGTTTGCACGGCAAACAATAAACAGTCGCACCGCCAGAATCGGCGAGTTTCTCCTTCGCTCGCGCTAATGAGCAACGACGTAAGGAGAACGCGGATAACGGAGGGAGAGTGAGAGAAGGAGAAAGAGATTCGTCTCGCAGGAAGGAAGACGGCTCCGAACGGGATGAACGAAGACACCGAGGCAAAAGGGAGGGAAATCTGTGTCGTGTTTGCCGGTGTCTTTAGAACGGGCTGTACTTCGTTATCACCGGCGCGCTATCGCGCCGAGTTTGCTCGCGTCCCCCTTGATATCCTTCCCGGCAAAGCCGAAACTGAAACCCGAAAGAAGAACGAAGTTCTCCCGAGAGTTTCTAAAATGCGCGACATCGTCGCGGTATCCACCCTCCCTTATCGCGTGTAATCGCGTACAGTGCGAGCAATTTCCATCGGCCGCGATTTTAGCAGAAAAACGAGAATAATCTTGTGAATACAGCAATTTTTCTTGTGTATACATTGTAAGGAATTTAATGTTTCACTGAGTCACTAATTAATATAATCTCTCCGATAAGAAGGCAGAATTGCAACAATTCAATTATCATTTGGAACGATGGAGACAATTGTAAAAAGAAAAAAAAATATATATATACACACATTGACATTTTTTTCGAAAAACTCGAAAATGATAAAAATAATTGATCGCCAATTTCTGCTTAAGAGAAATTCCTCGAAACGTACTCATGCTGTTTGCGATCAGACAACGAGGACCGTAAAGGTCTAAAAAAATATTAACTCGAATTATCTTGACGCGAGTTATGCCTGCTTACCTTAGACTGCGTCTGATTCATATCAAATTTCTCCGCGAGCGAAAATCCGCGGAGAGAATTGTGCAATGTGAACTCAGCGGGTTGACAATTCCCCGTTCCTTTTATCACTCGCGATAGGCCAGGAGCGCAGGCGTCGCGCATTTGCAACGAGTGCACCATTGTCTTATCGATGGTACGAGCGTCATTAGATAAGAGGCGCCGCGAATGGAGGACGCGTGTGTGTGTATGCGTGTTGAGCGGGGCTAATGTCGCACGGGATATTCAGGCAACGTGGACAATGAACGCACGCGCGCAATTGCGGCAACGGAATGCCAATCGGTGAATTTAAAATGCGCGTTAAGTGCGATCCCGACGTGAACGCGGGCAGCGAATATAAATTATCGCCGTCGGCAAACACGATCGTGGCGCAGCGCGGCGTTAATCCAACTTTCATCGCCGTCGTGCTGCGAGTGTCGGCGAGAAATTCGTCGTGGGACATTAATCCCGTGCGTGCTCTCGTTATCGCGTCTATTAAGAAGTGACGTGTCGAAAAATACCGGGATGTGGCGACAGATAAAGAAGAAGCAGTGGGCTACACATTTCTTCTCCTTCATCGAGCGCAGATAACGTAAATTACGGCGCCGTAAATCAATAATTACGAACGGCACACTTTGTGCCCGCATGACGCTCGGTACGAGCGATTTTAGCAAATTATTCCGCGACGAAGGCGTTAAGAGCCGCCGACGAATCTCTCGGTCGCGAGACTAAATCTTAAGACTAAAACTAAGTCACCACAGCGAAGGTTTCACTCAAAATAGATTTCTCATTCGTACGAGAGAACGTTTCAACCGATTAGAGTTAATCCGTCCCTCGGACGATGGAATACAATCGGGTTCACTCCAATTTCAAATGGAAATATTCACCCGGGAATGAAAATTGAAAGAATTCGCTATGAGTGAAAAATCACTCGGATTTAATTCATTCAATTATCATTCTACTTTTGTAGTTTTATTCAAAGAAATTTAGCGAGAGTCCAGGTTTCTTCTTTATTATTATATTATTTGTCGGAAAAGAAAGGCATACATTTATTCATCGCACGAAAGCTCCTTCGTCATTACCGAGAACGGACATTGGTTGATCCACCGCTAGCTCTAATCGACCTTAATTCGTTCGGATTTTCTCGTGGTTTTTCGAGGATCGATATTCAAAGGAGCTCGCCGGAAAAAGGTGAACGTCGAACCCGAAAGGGGTTAGTTTTTTAAGTTCTTCGGATGTTGACACAGACAAATGGGTCGATCGTCGGATTGATAAATGAACGATGAACTCAGCTGGCCATTCTATGCAAAAGGCTTACTCATTAGCACGTCCATCGTGTGTGTCGAAAGAGTCTACGGAGCTGAAGATTCGTGTCAGGGATCACGACCGAAACAGGTCAGACACGAAGCTATCGTCGTCGGCGCGGAAAAATAGCCGAGAGGAAACAAATCTCCTTCCTTCCCTTCTTCTCTTCACCCATGATCGGCGACGATTGCATAATCGAAGAACGTTTATTCAAAATCATTTACATATATTTTCCTAAACCGAGATAATTTTTTTACGAATGAGTAATTTATCTTGGGAACATCGGAAAACATATTACCAGTCCGGAATTTTTCATAAACTGTTCACAAATTCTACGCGCGTTTTTTGTGTAGTGTAATTTATGTACTTGACAAAATAATTCGGTAAATATTGAAAATGTTGTGAAACTGAATACTCGTTAACGTACATTATATCATATATGATTATACGATGACAAAGGAAGTAAAGTGCCGCGGCTAGCTAAAGTTTTTGCATCTCGACAACGGACTTTAACACGAATGTCAAATAGTACAGATAAGGCATTTTATGATACTGATATGCACCTAGTTTGTAGATAATTAGGCATATTGAATGACGATACGTTAAGGCTTGTTACGTCCTGTCGTTATCGAACCGGCATCTTGGAAAATGTTAAAGTTGTAAAATGTCACGAATTACGTTAAAGTGGCATTAAAATTGAAACAAAAGCGTGAACAACGATTTACTTTGTTCTCGACTACAACTGATATTTATTATTTCCATGAAAGAACTTGGACATAATTAGTTGTTAGCAAGTTCATTTTCAAATTAATATACGCGTCAAGAAACGCATTGAAAAGAAATCTTTTTTAATATAATAAAATGATATCACGAGGAGCAGATTTTGCAAATCACATTGATTCACGATACGAGAACGCGTGCATCTCTGGCCAAATGTCATAACACATGGAATAACCAACAACGAATACATTCATCTTTCCTGATTCCTCTCTCCCTCCCCGTATTTCCGGTTCCCGCTGTCATTTTTCCCTCGCATTTGCCTTCATTCACCGGCTCGAAGGACATCCCGGTAAGGAAGTGTTGCGCTTTGAGAGCAGGAAGGACGGGAAACAAAGCTGAGGTAGGAAGGAAGAGCGAGCAGCCGTGGAGAGCCAACGAGAGAGGAAGGGAAGTAGGAAAGGCAGGAGGAGGATCGGGATGAGAAAGGGTAAGGGCGAGGAATGGACTTCCGGTGAAAGCCTCTCGTCTCGAGCACCTGACCTGGACTAACTCGTCGTAAAGGGTCACGAACAGGAAATAATGGTCCGTGGGGAATGTGCAAAGCGAAAGGTGGAGAATAAGAGGACTGCGAGAAGAGAGGAGCGCGGCGGGTGAGACGAGGTGCAAAAGGGGCAGCCTGGAGGAGGACGAAGGGAGAGAGAAGAGCGTGGGGCAAGAAAAGTAGAAGAAGAAGCGGAAGAAAAGAAATTCGTACTCACGGGTCATTGGTCTTGGGCAGGAGGGTGCCGAGCTCCTTGATCCTGTCGTTGATGTTGAAACGCCGCCGTCGCTCGACTGAAAACGGAAATTGTGCACATCAATCATAGCGCTCGCGGCAGATGCGAGAGATCGCGTTAATTCGTAGCTAATCGCGCGGCCGGATCGACCTGCATCGCACGGGAATGACTTTGTTCCGAGCAATTTGGGTTTTCAAATCCGTTCGCCCGGTTCGCCCAAAAGACCGAGGAATGGCATAGATTGGTGTCTGTGATTATTGCCGAAAGGATGACTTTGTTACTGTTAACGTATTAAATGATCTCGTCGAGATCTGTATCAAATACAAGAACTACAACAATCGCCGATATCACAATACGTTCATATATATATATTACAAAATAGGGCGATAGTCTCGCGAAGACATCTTTAATAGATGCGTCAAGTGTTTGAAAATCTTTTCGAATGATTTCAACGTGCGTAGATACGAATGTCTCTCGCGGGATAGTAAAATCCCACTAACCGCCTCTTCTCCTTCCGGCTGCAATTTCTGGATGAAGGATAGAGGAGACAAAGGTTTCGTCTATATTTCTTCGGGGCTCGGGTCTAGATCCACCTACGCTCGCGGCTATTATTTTCCTCGAGTTTACAGCCACTTGGCGCGATTGGGAGCAAACGCGATATCCCCCGATCGCTCGATCCTAATAAACTATATCGTTGTTCCCCGGATCGCGCGAATCGTCGAGGGTCGAATTGTCCCATCCCCGAAATACCGAGGTATCGTCGTCCCGTATCGAAGTTATCCGGCGGGGAGGCATATCGCGCTTTCCGGAGGATATAGCGTATCTCCCCTGCGGAAAAGACTGTGAACCGGATCGCCCTATCATTGGCACATGACCCCGTTCTCAATCGATTATTCCAGCCAGGTATCTCTCGAAGGTGCGAGAGGTCAAGCCGCGCCAGCCGTCGGGAAAGTAAATTTGTCAAAATGCGTTATTGACGGAGAGCACTTCCCCGCCGAACGATGGGAGGCAGCAGCGTTACGTCGAAATTAATCGATAAAAATATACGCTTCGGAACGGCCGATCAATTTCTCCTTCGCTCTTTTTTGTTCGTTTCGCCCGATACGCTGATAAATAACGTCGGCTTTTTATCTACGTCGAAATTAATCGACTTCGGATGCGCGATAAGGATCGCAGAAGTTCCAAGAGGAAACGAGGAAATTATTTTGTTTCCTTCAGCGAGGAGACGGGAAATTTTTTCGTTCCATACACTTGATAATAAATTATGGCTCGGCGATGTTGAGTTATCGCCAGACGAATTTAATCGCTCTGCAGTTTATCCTTCCACGGTTTGGAGTAAAATATATTCGTCAGGGATAACAAGGAAATATATATTTATATTGAATTTTTGTATTTGAACTGAAGGAGAGTCTTTAATATTTTTCTCTTTTACCCAGGAGATTTAAGAAAATGCTCCGCCCTCGCGAGTGTTAAATATAGTCGAAGGGAAAAATCGATTTTAAATCAAATCCGAGCCAGTTCCGGGATACTTCAAAGCGCATCGTAGACATACAGCATGCCAAGCCAAATTCTGCAAATTGCTGATTTACGCAAGAACAAATATTTGTAAACAGCGCCGTAGGACACGATCGAAGAAATCGTGCGAGACACGCGTAGGACACGAAGGAACAGCCTTGAAAACTTTGAGGAAGCTATAACTTCCTCACCCGTACTTGGTTTACCTCGGAAGAGAGAGAAAGAGAGAAAGACATGAGAACACCAAAAGCAAAGGACGACGAAGAGAGAGAGAGAGAGAGGAAGGGAACGTGAGAGCAAGATGGATATCGGTGAGGACGACGAGGAGAAACTTCCTCTGATCTTGTTGATTAGATTACGATGGTTAATTCGGAAGAGGGTGAAGCAGGCTGGAAAGTCGGAACAGGGAGGAAAGGAAGGAAAATGGGGGAAGGGAGGGGACGAAGATCGAAGCCATACAATTCTGTGTCGGAGGATACGCGAATCTATGCTTTTCACTTGGAATCAAAAGACACGCTTTCCTAATCGATGAGTTTCATCAAACCGAGAAGAAATCGTCTCTAAAGCGTGAAGTAAAAGAGAGAAAAATACCGTAATTAATAAAGTTGGACAAATTAGACACGCTGACAAATGGACTCGCGTTCGTGCATTGATCGTAGAAAAAGGAAGGGGGAGAAGAAAGGAAGAAAAAAAAGACAAGTCCCGCCTATGCATAAGTACCTCCTTTGTTCCTCGCATATGGCGCACGTAGAACAGCGCGCGATCGACAATGCACCGCGGGATGCACAATAGCAGTCAATAAGTAGCGGGGACAAAGGGGGAGGGAGACGCGAATTAGCGGCGCGACGTGCGACTATTTTTACGGAATTCCTCGTTTATTTTCTATGTTTCCGTGTACTCCGCGGCCGTTGCTTCGCCATTCTCTCTTACAAATTCAATCTCGCTTCCTTCGTCCCGCACCTCCTCGCTGGCGGTCCGACCGGCCGGTAGGTCGGCCTTTCATTACGTCCGTGATTGTTTACGGAAAGTTGAACGCTCCACTTCCTCCCAATGCGGCAGGGAGCACCGGTTCCACCTGCCCTCGATTCTCCGTTTGTTTCGTTCGCGAGAATTGCGCACATTTTTTCCCTTAAACGCGGAAGACAACGGCGGGATGGTGGTTACGTTCTCATCTGGAGAAGTTCCACGCAAACGACGAATAACCGATTGAAAATCGCGTCGGTTAACGCAATTTCCTTGCCAAATGAAGTTACGTCATATCATTGCGCGAATTGTATCGGCGATATTATTTCGCGGTTATCACGTTTTCCCCTCTCGTATGGATCGGAGAGGGACACGGGAATCTACTCAACGCGAACACAAATGCACGTTAATTTTGAAATTGTTCATATTTACGGAAATACATTAACGTTAGAACATGCCGGGCGCGACGATATTCGCGAGACTATTGTCTGAATTGGAACTTTTTCGGTAACTTAAAACTTCCTTTCCTATAAATGCATGATCAAACATTAAAGTAGAAGAGTTACACTTTATTCTAGGATTTTGTTAATCTTTTTTCTTTCACGGTTTTTCCGTGAAATGGAATTTAGAAAATCGCACAGGCTCAATACGAATCTGTTTGCGGTGCGAACGGCTTTTCAGAAGTGTGCGGTTAATACACGTGCCAATGAAACGCGCTTAAAGTGCAAACACCGCGCGGGACTTCGGTGAGATTTTATCGCGTCGCGGCGGAAAACGAGGCGAGATAATTGATGCTTGCTGATCACTCGGCAAAATCCACAGGATCGCCGCGCGGATACATTCGCGCGACCGACCGATTCTGCGACGCAACGCGTATCGCATCGTAAAACGGGGACGCGCTCGGTAAAAGCGCGCGGTGACGTTGTCCAAATATCGCCGGTCGAAAATTGTTTATCTGCTCGTTAAGCGCGCCACCGCGATGGCTAATCCATTTCGTCACCTTAATGAGAATCCCTCGCGATAGGCATATACCGTGATCGGTTTTCGACGTTCAACACCTTTTCCGCGACAAAAGCCCGACGGTTGTAAATCGATCGACACGTAGCTAAATAGCGCGCGCGCGCGCGCGTGTGTGTGTGTGTGTGTGTGTGTGTGCATAGCGCGTTTAAAAACATTAAATCTCGGGTGCGTCTACATTTTTTTGCAAATAAAAATGCTATACATTTTATTAAATTAAGAGTGCGTCGCGATGATGTGTGCAATAACAAAGGAAAATGGCTACATCTAAGCGAGAATTAAATTTGCAGCGTTATCATTATATGTACGCGCCTTGAGAAAAAGTATGAAATTTCAAGAGACACGTGCGTCCGCATTCGTTAAACAATTGCTCATCTTCTCGCTACCGCGGGTAAATTTGAAACATTGAAATTGTCTAAGGTAACGAAGGAAGACAAATGCGTTATTACTAAAATGACAGAAATTTCGACAGCGATGTATTCGAAATATTGTGCGTAAAAAGCAAAAAATTGCTCGAAGCATTAAATTTTCCTCCCTTGTGGAAAGGTATTAAATTTTAAAAGTCAACATCGACGTAATAACGAGGAGTGACGCGCGGGAATTTTCATTAAACTTACAATTCACGCTGGCAACGTGAATACACGAAGTTATATTTGGTTGGCCGTCGTTGTTCATGTCAACAGATAACAGACAGGCACTAGTTTAATTGACTACATTTGCGATAATAATAGACGGTCGACGTCAACGAAGCAGCGAACGGGGCGACACTCTTTCATTGTCATTTAAATACTTCACTTATGTCCCAGCCTCCGTATTGACATAAGTGTAACGTAGTAAATGTCGCCAACAATGGCGGTGTAATGGTAGCAAACGAGACACCGCCGATTGCTAGCATTGAGGTGTAAATTACACGACGGCGCCTATCAATTATTGCTACACGGGTAAACACGAACATTTGTTTGCAGTCTGCCTATCGAGCGACATTCAAAGCGGCTCTGTCATGATGAAAACGTTAACCTTACTATCGCGAGCCACGTGTGCGAGAATTTGCACGAGCACGATATTCGGGATATTTTCGTGCCAAACTCACGTTTTCGAATCCTACCACGCGAGTGTGAACAAACTCTCTTTAACGAAAGATAAAGCGAGCCATAGCGTGTTACATGTATAAATGTTTGCAGTAGTGTTCCGAAACTGACAAATTGACAACGGAACGTATGATTCGTTGTTTAGATATTTCCATTGCACCAGAAAAAAATACCCATAAATTCGATTTGAAAAATTGTTCTCATAACTTGCAGATGGTTAGAATTAACGTGTCAATTTTTAAGAAACGTCAGTATATTACGCATTGTCGTGAAAAAATCCAAATTACTAAGAAACACGGTTCTAATAATAATCTACAAATTAATGAGAATATATGACTCGGTAACGACGAGGGTACCAATCGAAGGGAGAGCTGTCCACTTACTCATGTTGTGGTTATCCTTTTTCTGTCGATCCTTCGCAAGGGCGTGGATCTCTGCTTCGGTGAGCAAAAGAGGTTCCGGCTTAATTTGAAGCTCCGGTATATTCGTTAAGCTGCCGGCCTGGCCATCTTTCAATCCGTCACCCAAAGAACCAGCCTCGAACGACAGGATGTCGTCCAGAAGGTCCTCAGCCTGCAATTAGAACAGAAACACGTGCTGTCATATAGACGATATTAATTCGCGTAGACGATGCTGTAAGAAAAGAACACACTGTGAGAATTTTATAACTCTTCAGTCGGAAAAAGAATGCGACACCTCGCGTTTCGTTTCGTGCCGAATGTCGCAATTATCGTAAATCACTATCCGGTATCGTACACGATTGAAGTCGCACTGAAAAGTTAAGCCGAACATTGACACACGACGGAGAGAGAGAGCACAAAAGAGTGACTATGTCCGCTAATAGCGATGTGATTTATTATCATACCGCGGCCCGTAAGTTCATTCGGCGAGTGATTTGCAAATAGAAAAAACCACGTTATGCGATCGCCGCGCTTTTACGAGCCGATCGGTGATAAAGCGATCTCGCCCTCGCGCGCGACAACATTACCGCTTGCGGTAGTTAATGCAATTTTTCCTTGGGACGGAATCTTACGATCGTTCCGCGAGTGGTTAGGTAGGTAGAATACGAGGAGAACCCAAAGGAGGAAGGAATTCAAAAGGAGCGAAGGGAAGCCGCGAAAGAGAGGTACGGACGGTGCGCCATCGTTAATAATTCCTGGGAGCGATCGGTGCCGTTCGCTAAATCACCCTTTCAAGCCTTAAAGACTCGTTGTCTTCGGCGCGCAAAGCTCTCCGCGATATATCGACCGTAATGTTATTCACAAGCTCCTCGATAAAATGATTCACGCGTCGACGAAATCGAACTCGTTCGAGAGACGTTTATTCACCGTTTCCTCCCCAACGTCCGTTCCATATTCCGCTCGCTGTAATATTTCGCCCCCGCGAGGTAAATGATCGTTCATCGGGACGTGATACGGATTTAAGTGCCAAACATTGTTCGGCCGCCGTCGATAAAGTGAGACGCGCAATTCATAACGATAAATCCCCCGTACGATTCAATGGAAACCGCGCGCGGCCTTTTTATTCCCTCGTGATTATCTACGTATCGCCTGGTAAATTAAAGATTGCGCAAAGTGTTGCACCGATTCGCGCGCGATAAGAGCAGAGGCGCATTGCCGTCGAGGAAGAGCGTGGATCGCGATCGATAGAATCCACGATTGAGGTAACTTCCCGGCGGTGATTGATAATTAATTGTGTAATTTCCGCTTCTGAATACGGGGATATTCTTACAAGCTTTTTGTTTGAAAGTAACATTTCTCGGAATTTCCGGGAGGAAATCAATGAAGAAAGTATCTCCGTTAAACAACATAGTTGTGTCAAACGGGATTGTCTCCGCGTTCGTAAAAGGATTAAGGGCTGCGATTGTGCGCAACTGCAGTTCCTCGGGGCGCGCGTTGACGCATCGCGACAGCCGTGTGTGCCGTTACGTAAACATTACGTAAACAATAATAAGCGAGCTCCGTCGGCCTGTGGAACAACGTTTCGACGCCGACTGTTGCCGCGAACGGGAGATGAATCGAGTTACCTCTCGGTCCGACGAGCGCGCTTTGACGCGAGCGAGCCGACAAAAGCCATGCGCCATGGCTGCGAGCGAGAAACACGATAATTGTATAATGGCTCGGATGTGCCAGCGAGTGCACAGGGTATCCTACAAGTCGCGCGCGCCTATTACGACGAGAGGTCAGAACTCAACGACGATTCGGTTTAAAAGCGATTCAAAATCAAGCCAATTTTTCAGCTAATTCATTTTTAGTTAAATAATTTATCATACATTCGCAGCTAATATCAAATTTATTGTAAAACTTGTCACGAAGATATTAGATTAGAACGTGAAGACGGCGTGTGAATAAGTTTTAGCTAATGAAAATCTTGAGAAAATAATCTTCTTTAATAGCTACAACAATAGTTAAGCAAAGTAATAGCTAAATAATAATAATACGACGAGGGCGTGATTAAGAAAAAGCGTAGGACGTTCTGCCGCGAATATTGAGCGAGATCACACGACTTGCGAAGAATTAAACGGCGAGCGCCTGTTGACGCATACGATGCGTTCTACCGTTAAAAATCGCGCTGTCGACATACCCGTAAGAAATCTGCCGTTAACGCGTGATAGTAACGAGACACCCTGTACGCGCGAAGAATGCGTACACGCCGAGAAAGAGGCAATTTCGACGAGGATGAATGGCGGAGTGCAAAGGAGATAAGAAGTGGATGACAGAGACAACATTGATCGTCGCTGCGGTCAATGAAACTGACGCGCGGAAAGGGAGACACGGATCGGTGAAGGGACTATAATATATGTTATACGCGATCAAAGCGAATTGCTCCTGTAACACGAGCGTCAAGATGACGCACGCACAAACGCTCGCGATTTGACATTTAACTCCGCGCGACGTACTTTTACCATGAGATTCCTCCACGTAACGTAATCGAGATTATTAACTGAACGAGGAAAACGATCGGAAAGGTGCTCAAGCAAGAAAAACTAATGCTGCCTTTGACGCGCCCCTGTGAAAGAGTACGTGACAGTCACATTATTAACACAGCCGCTGTCACCAGCCACTTGTTGATAAATATTGATAACAGTTTGTAATTGCAATATTACAAGGACGATGTAAAGATAAATTTACGAATTTTTATACAAAGGAACGTTTTCATTAAAATAAACTTTCGAAATCCGGCAAACGTCTTTCGACTGTCAAAATAAGGACTGTCAGTGTCAAATTATCACCCTGTGTGACAATTTCATTTACCATTTTGAAAAATAAGAGAATATACAAAAATAAATATTAGGTAGTATTCGACATATCCGAAGCTTTGAAATTTGATTTGCGATCGACAAATCTTTAGGTTTGCGTTATTATTCCGGCGTGATACACGTTACATAAATTTTTCACTTTTTTTTTCAGAGAGAAAACGCACGTTCGAAAGTCCGCCGTAGAATTACGTTCCCGTATAATCCCGGCGTGAATCCCGCGCCGAGCGGAAATTTGGCGGTGCGTAGCACCGATAATAGTTATCTGGCGCGTCGATATTAGCCGACGATAAAGAGACCGCGCGTTTTATTTCGGGGATTCCCCGTTTCCACGTCGATCTGGTGAATTATGCCGGGCGCAATTCGCGAAATGTAATTGGCGCGTAGGCCCGCCGCTCGTTAAGTTGCGAAAAAAGGCACGCGCTACACCTCGTTAAACGTCACCGGTCGTTGATGGACACCCGTTTCGTCTCTGCTCTCGCAACACACACATTGCGTGTGTCGCTGTGCATAGCGTAAACGAATCGTCTTTAAAGAGCCGCTTTACGGCTGAAACAGCCTTGGCCGTAGAGACGAATGGCTGCGTTCACGATTATGCACAACGTCGTCGAGCGGTTACTACCACTCGTTAAGTAATATCGTTACGTGGCCCGGCGAAATACCGTGGCCGATCGTGTCTTACGTTTAAAATTATACCGAAAAACTCTTCATTTCTACAATTACGATCGCCTTGAGCGCGCCATCGGATATTTATCTGACACGCGGAAGAATTACATTTTGGTGTTAAATGTGTTAGGGGGGGGGGGCGCGTGAATGTGTCTCGTCGAAAAGGAATCGCTATAATATCATCTTTAATTTAATTATCGCACGAGCGACGATAACTCGCAAAAGTATCGTGAAAATCGCACAAAGCTACCGGTGCCAAGCTTATCCGGGAAAGAAATCTGCTCGTTGCTGAACAACGACCGCGCGCATTTTCTCGAAAATGTCCTTCCCACGGATTTTTCCACCGTTGTAAAATTCCACGTGGCTCCTCTCGGGAGAATCGTGTCGATGGTATCGATTGAATGGTACCACCACGTCCGCGAACTGAAATTATCAACGAATCACTCAGCGGTGAGCGGAACGAGCGCAGCGACAGGAAGCAATTGCGTTTGCGATTGCGTAACGAGCGAGGATTATAATTGCATACAATTAAGTACCGCAAGCATGCGAGATAATGTCAGGACGGCTTTAATTAATTCCGCTCGCATAAGACGTCCGATCCGTATACACGGGAAGGAACTGCGACGAGACGCAGTCCTTGTTCCGTTAGTCATTTCGCGTGTCTACAGCTAGAATATTCATCTCGTTCTGGATAAAAAAATTTAACGACGCCTGTAATTTTCTGCCTCAGCATTAATATCAGCACCACTCGCTCCTTCGCATGTAAGAATGTTACATGTACTTTCGATTATCGAGATCATTAACATATTTAATTAATAGATAAATTTCTCAGTCGCACGATAAAATGCACGAATCGTAATTTAAACTACTCGCGTTTTGTCGCGTATCGTTCGATCGAACTGTACTTTTTTATTCGCCGGCGACGAGCGAAACTAAGCAGAAAACAAAAGCGCCCGTTTTTCCTTGCTTGGCGTTTTATAAAATATATCGCCCCATCTATGTAAATGAGAACACTTTTTATATGCATGTTGTACGTCACATACGTATAACGGCGGTGCTATGCAAATTCGTATACGCGGCACGTGCGTACGCCGACCATTATTCATACTCCGCCTCCGTCTGCACGGAAAACAAGTTTATGCTTTGTCAAGGCGCTCGTATTCAATAAAATTCCGTATTAACTAGTCCGTAAGAAAAAAAAAATCATATCGATGCTGAAACGCATTGACCTCGTCACACACCTTGAGTATTTCACGCGATAACCGCCGCATTGATGTCGCGAGAAGTGATCATTTTTCTTGTCTCCCGCGAAATTTATCAAGCGTTGCCGGGAAAATATATTTGCATACACACAGTCTGGTTGGATTAATGAGCCGATATATTTAGGGAGATATGCGCTCGACGAGTTAAACGATTCTCTCCGAGAAGAGGAGTTTACTCTGTGTTGTCTACATTCTTCACGTTATTTCGCGAAATCGCACTTCAATATCGACGCGCATGCAATTAAGCGACAGCCTGCCCCCGTTAGAGCGTAACTACTTCAGATCGAAATCGCTTTTCATAATTCGTATAACAGTAAATCCGTATAATTACATCATTTACATTGACGCCTATTTCGCGATAATGACACACACACGCACAGGCTCGCTCG